TAATGTAGGATACACACACACACACACACGCACGCACACAGCGAGGTTAATCGAGCATGGAGGCAAATTGTACATGTAAATATTTTAATAAAAAAAACCGAAAGGCATATGTCTACGCTTGCGTAAGACAGCGCAGAGACGAAGACTACTGCGCTGAATACATTAATCTGTACTCGGCTGCCAAACACACATAAGTTTTTCATATATCAAAAATAAAATTATTAGGTAAATATAATTGTTTTTGGTCTATGTGGTAATTGAAATAATTGATAAGTATCAGATATGTTTTTTAAAATAAGTTAATGGTATATTTCTTAACTTTAATGTTTAAATTGCTATTTCATTTACGGTTTTTTAGTCATAAAAAATATTTCATTGTGAAAAATAGGCATTCCGTACGTAGTGGGGACCTTGAGGAGTACTCTCACCAAGCGATACGACCCAACAGCTGTTCAATAGGAAACAGTGTACAATCGTGTAAACGTCGAAAACTGCGTCGCATTTCATCTGTTCATTCATCTTATCTTATTCGGGATTTTGTTAACTTAGGAAATAACAAAAAATCACGGGCAATACACGGAATATACGGGAGTTGGCGAAGTTGGACCGTATTTAGTCCTGAATCAGGTGAGATAGAAACTCGCTCGCGAAGTTTATCCCCTTTCAGTTACAATCTGTATGCGCTTGCGTATGTGTGTGTGTGTGTGTGTGTACATAACAAAAATTAATTTATAATATTATAATATTTTACTTTAATTGATAATATTATTATTTTACTTTTATATTTTAAAAAGAGCAATTATTTAATAGCTAATTATGGATAAAATAATCGTTTGGCAAAATCTATGCTAAAAAACTATACGTATAAAGCAAATTAAACTTACACTAGTAAATCGTTCCAAAGACAAATTCATTATCTTTCCAATTGTAATGGTTAATTGACTTTGCGATCTCATTATCATGGATAGTATAATTCGACTATCTCTATAATCTGATTCGTACCAGAGGGAAGCGTAAGCAGCATCTCCGATACTTTTGCTCTATTGAATAATGGATATTGCAGCTTTTATATACAAAAACAATTATGTAATATTTTGCTATTTATCGTGAACAATATAGTGGTCCTAATATCTAACCTTAGCGCTTAAATATTCTCCAGCGAAACAATATATAAACGCTTCCACATTTATAACGATATAAAACAAGAAGTTTCTGATTATATTTTTCGTAGCATCGGGTTGACCGATCGACTGGAATATTAAGAAATATCCTAAGAGCAATGGAAAAGTAGGAAAGTAATGAATAATTAAGTGAATTAGTGCTTTTCTAATCTACAACAACATAAATTCAATTCAGTGGTTTCTATATCCTTTGTTAATCATAAAATTAATCAAAGCTACTTACCGCAACAATTGTAAAACCTAAGCAACAAATAATCAGAGTATCTGATACGAACAGCACCATCGCAATATACGTGTACAAATCTTCGATGTGCTCTGAAAATTTGATGATCTTCTGATGTTTCTTGATTATTTTTTTTATCGTAAAATGACTCGGATTACACTTTCCATTCTTCGGAAAAACTTCCTTTAAACCTTCTCTAAGTATATCAATTTGTCCGCCTATATGCAATATCTAAAATATGTATTCTTCTCAAAAGTCACTTAATGGAAGCCGGGAAAAAAAAATTTTAATGTTTGAATTCCATTTATGCTACACAAAATTTTAAATTCTTCAAGATTGAAGAAGTAGCATAAGTCAAAATTATCTATTAACTACTTTTAATCATGTCAACAGACAATAAATACATATATGTACAGGGTATCACAGAAAAGTTGCAACACTTTTTTTCGATGAGTTTCGGAACTCAGTCTTGTTTGTAGAGCGCTTGAACGTAAATGATTAGACACATAAGTAAGTATCAATATTTCCGGTGACTAGATTGCATTCAGAAATCAATCGAAAAAAAGTATTTCACCTTTCTATGATTCATTGTACGTTCCATCAATTGACATCAGTTGATTGGTTAATAAAATTTTAAGGAATTGACTTTTACGAACAATGATAATAATATCTTTTGCGACTTTTTGCAAGACTTACCAAATTTATGAGAAGAGCATTTAATAAACAATTTGCGTCGGCACACAATAGCAAGTTAACAAATTGAGTAATTATGACTGATTCATATATGATTTTTCGATTAGCGTCAAATGGCAGATCCATCTCTAGAATGAGCAATCGTGTAGAAATGTTGGAAGCTTTGTTGTCATCCGCGTGTTTTAGGAGAATCCTGATACTAAAAAGAATTACAGTTGCCGAATGAAGAATCACCATTATGTTAGCGAAGCGCTCCGACAGTTTGGCATTGCATGTCATGAACGTACTGAATTTCGTGTTAGAATATTTTTCCCAATCAGTCGCCATTATTGTTAATATCCTGTTAATAGTTCTACAAATGATTTTTATTGGTCATAATCATTATAAGCATAATAATTACAGCTGCAACGAAGCTTTACACGAACCATCGATGAAAAATTTATCGTTCTATAATGACTATATCGATGCATATCTGTTTTTATTTCCTTTTTGCATACAGTAATTAATTTATTATTATTACAGCAATTCATTTTAAATTTTGCTTTATTACATTGTTCGTATTTGCAATTGCTAAATAATTCATTTTCACTTGTCAGAGTAACTGTTAAATAGATTTACATCACTAACTTAACGTGTTTGAATAGTGTAATTAAATATAATTAAATTATATGATATTTAAAACAAATTTTTTACTGATAGTGCGTATTATTATGAGCTTTACCACTGTATATCTCACCGCTGTTTACACCAAAAAATTACAAGTTTGATTAAAAATCTCGTTAACGGCATTATTGTACCCAAAACGTTTATTATCTCGAATAACTCCATCAAATTGAAATGCCTTATGATGTATCGGTATTGAACAACTTGTTCGAATACGAGTGATACAATCCAGAACATTCTACACAACGAAATACACGACATATTCGGCCAAATGCCAAAAATGCAACAGCAAATTTCTATCATTTGGCTGACAGTATTTTTTATTTTCATATTTCTGATATTATTAGTTTTTTATTATTTTACACTGTTTATACATGTATAAATTCTAACGAGAGAATTTTTAACGATGTTACGAATAATATCTAATTGATGATGTGTATGATATAGTGTCTCTGTACAAACTAAGAGCTCGGAAGAGATTACGAGTGGTGGGACCCTCCTATGGGAGCAGGGCTTATTAAATATTTTAATCGCTACGTGCACCGATTGCATGCAATATTGTCAATAAGAAAAAAGAAGTTTCCGGGTAGTCAATCCTGTCCCTCTCAAATTCTCGGGAAGGACAGTGGAGTTGTGCGTTATTTTCTTTAAAAATTCATGCAGCAGCGGACAGGGTAGGTAGCACATGCAAACATACACAAGACATTAAACCTCGGTGACCGCAATAAAAGTTTTATTATTAAGTTGTATTTCCGTGAATGTGGAAGAATTGTTTGAAGAAGAGAACAGATGAAAGCGAATGGGACGCTCATTTCTTTTCCTCAATATTTTTTCTTGCGGATTATAGTAAGTGCGAATGCGTTTGCAACTTATTCTCTTGAATTATGTAAATCGCACAATTTTGGATGGCACTCTTGTGCATATCACGTACATGTTACGTGCAATAATCATGAAGAAGTAAGCTAGAAGCAGAAGACGGAGAACGAAGTACTGAGTAAAGTTTTATATTGTGCAGTAGCAACGGCGTTCCTCGCAAACGACAAGCATAATACTTATAAGCTGTAAAAAACATTGTAAAGTGCAAAAAGCTTTTACGTTAATATTTCAGAAAATTCTGTTTAGACATTATAATATCACTTGAACGTTACGAAAATCTAAAGTAATATTTGATTATGCGAAGATGAAATGGAAGAAAAAAATTTGATTTAATTATATTAGAAATAATTTTAATAAGATTGGAAGACCGCTTATGTTAAATACATTACTTTAAACTTAAGAAGCGCCACTAACGGTCTGAACATTAAATTGTTGAACTATTCTAAATTCATTTTAAATGAATTAAATTCAGAAATTATAATTGCGTGCCGATATGATTGTCGGACTTTCAACGCGATCAAATCTGAAAATAAATCCCCCCCCAAATTTCCCATCTTAAAAACTGTAATAAACTTGCGAAAAATAATGCCTCGGCCGGGAGTCGAACCCGGATCTCTTGCATTCCGTGCGAGCGTCCTAAGCCTTTAGACTACCGAGACTTTGGGGAGATTATTATTTCAGATTTGATTGCGTTGAAAGTTCGACAAACATATCGGAACGCAATTATAATTTCTGAATTTAATTCATTTAAAATGAATTTAGAATAGTTCAACATCTTAACGTTCAGACCGTTAGTGGCGCTTCTTAAGTTTAAAGAAATAATATTATTATATTTGAGATACCAAACAAAAATAATAATAATAATTTCTTTGATACGGTTACTACTTTGATACGATTTTTTTTATTATTCGTTTTATGATTTTATACTATTACTTTATGCTCCTGCCCGATACTATCATGATACTGTCATAATATTATGTCAATACTCAGTTAAATATTTAGTTCATCGTTAATAGGACGGAAATATATGATGCTGATACCTTCACAACCTATAATATTAATCGATTGTAACGTATTATGTGTGTGTAAATGCATGATATTATAGATATTAATAATCAATCAGTTAAACAAAATTAACTTTAAAAATTGTATTGTATTTTTTTCAATTTTTAATAATTCCGTAAAAATGTATTTGGTTTAATGTTAATATTTTAGTGTTAAGAAAGTTTTTTTAATATATTTTATATATTAAAAAACCTGTCGGGGGGATCTGCTAAATGTCTCTAAAATTTATATTGTAAAAATCTTACACTAGTAAATCGTTCCAATGAAAGATCCATAATTTTTCCAATTGTGATGGTCAGTCATTTTTGCGATCTTAAGATCATGAACAATATCATTCGTTTTTTTTCGATTGTGATATCGTACCAAAGAGAATTGTAAACCGCATCGCTAATCATTTTGCTTTAGAAAGGAAAGATTAATTTTGGATTTTCGTGTATTATTTAAAATCATTAACAGGTTTTTCAGCGCTAACCTTGACGTTCAAATATTCACCGGCGAAACAATATATAAATGCCTCGAAGTTCATCACAATGTAATAAAGTACTGACCTCATCAAAATTGGTGTTCCGCCAGGTGTACCGATTGACTGTAATCTCGAATAATTTAGAAACAATCTGTCTTGTTCTATAATACCGAGTAACATATACCCGTAGAATTAAAAATAGAAACATATACACAGTTATTTTAAATAATTAATATTTTGATAAAATTTGCGATCTATAACGTGATGTTTTCCAACGTTACTCACGATGATAATAATGAATCCTAGACAGCATATAATGATAATGTCCGACACAAACAGCATTAGCGCGATGTACGTATAATAAAGATTTTCAATGTTCTCCGAAAACATGATTATTTGTTGATGCTTTGTTATCAATGTTTTCATCGTTGTCCCGTCGACAGTATTCATCGTATTTTTGGAAAAAGCTTTCAGTAACCAATCGCAAAGGATATCAATTTGATCACCGATGTGTAGTATCTAGGATATTGTCTTAAATGATAGGAGTAGCGATCACTACATAGGTAATTCTACGCCGTTAAATGGCGTCACGAACTTATCAAAATGATGATGAGCGAATTTATTGTGGAAATTCCACAGCCGCACGTCGCTATATGAAAATATTTGAGGATCGTAACGAACACGTAAATACGAAATGTATCAATCTGGAATGGCATCTTCAGCTTCAAGATGTGTTCCTGTGCTGACACATTCATTCTTTAAATATTACCGATGTGAGCAGTAAGCGCGTCGCAGCTGTACAAAGTTACGATAATCATTTGAAGACCGATAATCCAATTTGAGATGCGGTGCCAGAGTTTGGCTTTGTTGATCATGATGAGCAGACTACAATCAGTTAAAATGCAGTTCTTCCAATCCATGGCCATCATTTGCAATATGTCAGAAAATGTTCTAAAAAAAAATTAGATATGTCAGTTAATATCATTATTTACATCTTTCAGATAAGTAAATATCATTAACAAATTAAAAAATTAGACTAAATTAAACTAAATATAAGAGTTATAAGAAAATAATATTATTTACACGTATGTGCCAAGTATTGTATGTGCCAAGTATCATACCTATGCAAAGTATTCAGCGTCCGCACGATTTTTCAGACACTTTCGACAGTTACAAAAAAAATTGAACAGTGAGCATTCATCTGTTTTATATAGGCTACAACATGCGATAAAAAAAATTAAAAAAAATTTTTATAGAGAAATCAAAGTCATCTTAAATTTTTTTAAATAGCACCATGCAATTTTTTTCCCATTATTATGGGAATATTGTAGGAGTCTTCAAGACGAATTTAAATCACTGTCGAAATGTAACTTTTATTGATATTTTATTGATTTTATTGCATATTTTATTAAATAAGTACATGTATGTATGTAAATATATTCTGTATTTTAATTAGAGGTTGTAAGTACTGCTGTTACAAATAATGTTACAAATTTGATATTAGATATAAAATCAATAAAACATCAATAAAAGTGATATTTCGGTAGTGATTTGAATTTGTCTTGAAGACTACAATATTATGGAAAAAAATTTTATGGTGCTATGTAAAAAATTTAAGATGACTTTGATTTTCTTAAAAACAAAATTTTTTTTTTAATTGTGTTATCACATGTTGTAGCCTGTATAAAACAGATGAATATTCATCTTTTAACTTTTTTTTTGTCGGAAGTATCTGAGAAATCGTGCGGACCGTTACGCTACACTCTGTATATTATTTGCAAAAGATAATAGATTTTATAATATAAAATAAATTCGCGATACAGGATATTATAGCGTTTATATGTAATCTTGTATCTTTCTTACTCATGCAATTTATTATTTAAATATAACATTTTACAAACTATAATATGGAAAGGCAAAGAATTAAATTTATATAATGTTTATCTTACTGTTGATTCGCCCACAAAATAGCGAGTCTGATGCATAATAGACTGTATGCCATGATACTGCTTACACTATCCAAATTTAAATAAAATCGTAGAAACTATCGGTGTAAAAATGTATCGCTTTGTAACGATATTAAAAAAATTGAACTGTGCCATACATCACGATCCAAAATAATTGGAATAAAACGGGTTGACGGTAGATATGGCTAGATACCGTATAAGGCGTGAAGACAGATCTTTACTGCGCGACTGATTGTACTCATCTCCATGTTTCCCGTAAACAACAGGAAACGGATTGAGAATCACTGAAGGTGTACGTGTGCCACCAAACAATTTTGCTCGCAGAAAAAACTGGGGAGGCAGAGCTTTCAAGAAAACCGTAGCCTTGTATCGCTAAACGTCGACCAATCGGACAAGCACTTGATAAATATTCTATCGCCACGTATCGCAAATTTTGACGGACCACGTCCGACGATTTCATCGATGATCACAGCTTGATACATAAAAACAGTTAGAGGTATCATTTCTCTCTACGCAAAGTCGAGTTTCCGACCACGGACAATGCTACCGCTTGTCTTCTTTAAAAATGCAACAACCTTGGAAGTGCAACTTCCATGACCCACCGCACGACGTGAAGTTAAAAAGTTTCGCTGTTCGTGGTGTGTAAACGGAGGAGGACATAAACATCGCCAGGGATGTTTCTCCGGAACGTTTTGCGCGAAGCATATAACTTGTGTTGTAAAAGAAAATTGGAAGAAACAGGATGAAAATGGTGGTACGATTTTTAGTGATTCTTTTTCCATTGTCAAAATGTATTATTCCATAAAATATTACCTACTTTTTACTTCGCAACATTTACTTCGTATTATTGAGTACAAACTTCTTTCTGATCAAACTGAAGGTATAAATTCAAGATTATGTAGTAAAGAAGAAAAAATACAGTTTGATGAAACGAATGTCGGATACAAAATTGTGCGCGACAGTTATAAAAAGTAATTCGAGACTTGAGGATGCGAACTAAAAGTGCCAAGAGAAAGCGAAATTGCAAAAGTTTTTCAGTACCGCTTTTTCATCGTAGATGAACAAACTAAAAGCTAGGAAAAAGAAACTCGGGTTGATTTTGTCTTAATAATATCTCAAAGAATATCCGTCGAAACAAAAAAAGCTTTAAATCTTAATTTTTGGCCTCATATTAACGATTATAATATATCTTTATTGGGCAAGAGAAAGTACACATAAAAAAAAACTGGAATAATGTTTTAAACAAATTTTATACATTTATTTTTATGTTACTAAATTCTACTTTCGGCATAAATTTTTTATATTCATGTTAATTACGAACATATTATTTATATTGAGTACATTGCTATTAGCACTGACATATATGACAACGATGCCTTTATTACCTAAAATATTATTGTTTGTGATTATAATAACATATGCACGTAAAATGTTTAAAAATTGAATAATACAATAATATTAAAAAATATATAATTAAATAATATAATAACATAACAAAGCTGTAGATAGTTATTGTAATATAATGTGAACATCGTTATGCCATTATTTACACTTCAAATTATTATTTAATTAATACGAAGAAATAAGAATAGTGAATTCTATTTCAAACGAATGTATATTATTTTGATTACACAATAAGAGAGCAAATTTTTGTTTTAATATTAATCCAAATCTTTAAAAAAATATATTATAATAAGGTATGTTTTAGAAATATTCGAGTTTCACAAACCGACAAATGTTAAAAGAAATATTACAAGTAAAATCTTACACTGGTGAATCGTTCTAAAGAAAGATCCATGATTTTTCCGCTCGTGATTGTCAATCTTTTCTGCGATCTCAGAATAAGAAACAGTACAGTTCGACTTTCTTTGGGTGGAAAATCGTACCAGAGAGAATCGTACGCCGCACTTCCAATCATTTTGCTCTGAAAAAGGAAAAATGTGAGATACATTCGATATATTTACGAATTAATGAAGCTGTCATTTTTCTCTTGATGTTGACCTTGGCGCTCAGATGTTCGCCGCAGAAGCAGTATATAAATGCCTCGACGTTCATCGAGAAGTAGAATAATAAAGATTTCACCAAAATCGCTGCGGCATTGGGTGTGTCGAGTGACTAAAATTTCCGTACACGAATATAATAATAATTTAGTATGAGTTAGCTGCACATGTGATACTTTTATACGTCTTAAATATTAATAATTGTTATCATTTTTTTCAGACTCATGGATATGTAATATTTGCAGCAACAGATAACCAAATGTCACTTTAAATATTACTTACGGTGGCTATAATAAATCCTAAACAACATATAATAATCGTGTTTGATAAGAGCATCATCATTGCAATGTACGTGTAAAGCGTCTCGATGCTGTCTGCAAATACTATAATACGCTGGTGCTTTATAATTAACGATTTCATTGTAATTTCGTCTATCGAATCCGCCGAATTTTTGGAAAAGATTTTTGTCAACCATTCTCGAAGAATGTCTATTTGACCGCAGACATGAAGTATCTAAGATTTATAGTTTTGCAATCTCTTTCTCACACACACACACACACACACAGGAACATGAAAAATTATTTTTTTAAATTAAAAAAATTTTAAATTTGATAAATTATTTTTTAGACATCGAAGACAAATATATTGTAATTTAGCAAATTATTTTATATACTTGTAAAATGTTATTAAAACAAAATGTTTGTATGTATAATAATTACTCACAATCTTATCTAACATGAAATCTCTAATTAAAAAGATCAAAAATGTATAATTTACCTTGCATTTAATTTTGAGTAGGCGCAGCGCAATTCGAACTTACCAAAGTGACGAAAAGTGAGTTGATAATCGTAATACCGCAGGCGACTAAAAATAGGTGATAAAATTGAACTGTTTGAACAGTTGTGTAAATAAAATCTGTACTAATGTTGAATGGGAACTCCATTTTCAGAATAAGTTCTCGTGCATACGGCTCTAATTTCTCGGGACTATTTGCATTAGCGGCGAGTACGCCGACACTGTAGAAAGTTGCGGAGCCAATTTGCATGCCAACGATCCATCTCGAAGTGCGACGTGCAACATTTGCCACATCCGTCATTATGCGTGAGTTATAGCAATTCGAAGTATGAACTTGCCAATCTTCAGACATCATTTGTAATACATAAAAAAATATTCTACGGAAGGTGCACCCTTTGCGTTAATATCTGTTTCATGGTTGTTACAAAATTGAATTAATTTTAATTTCGGCAAGAATATTTCATTAAAGTATCAGAAAAAACAAGCATTTGTAATATATACTCATGCGTATACTCGCAAATCTTAAACATATAAATTGAATAAAATCAAGAATCAATTGATTATTATTCGATACAAAGAGGCAACGCAATTTGCGGATTCATTTCAGTGTCTTGACACATTATTAAATGCTACGTTTCGTAAACATTAGTATTTAACAATGTATTAAATCACGAAGATAACTAGCTATTGTCGACAACATAGCTTCTTTGAAGAAAACATGGAAGTCTCAAAAGCACTGTTATTCAATATTTTTCTTAATTGATAATTTCAGCAAATGTTAATTATCATCGATAATGAGACAAGTAACAGGATTTACATATGTTATTTCGCAAATACATCCTACCGTTGATTGGTCCAAAGGAAAATGAGTTTAATGTAAAGTAGAGAAGATGTCATTGCACTGCTCACTCCGTCCATGTACTCGGAGAAGTCATCCATATGAACGTTCATCACTACGTATCCGTACTGAAAAACTTGGGCCGTGCTTAGCATTATGATCCAATATAATCTGAACACCATAGTGGACGGTACATACGGCCATACACCGTAAATGTGAAGACCGAATCTAATCAATCGACTAATCGTAGTCATCCCCATATTTCTCTTTGACGACGTAGAACAAATCAATTGCGATACGCCGTCGAGTAACTTTATTCATACTAAATCGCGGGTTGACAACCGAACGGGGAGGCAACCCACGATTCGTGTCATTGACCATTGACCAATCATAACTTATTAAATATTTCTGTTACATTGTACAAAAAAAGGAAGAAACAAACTGCAACTGTTATTTTAGAAATAATGAATATGTGGACGATAGAGGGAGGGTCCCCTTCTTCTAAACTTCCGACCACGATACAGCTATACACCCTTTTTAAAAATGTGATAGGCAAAGGAAAGGTGGAGCATAGCTTCCAAGAACTGCTCGCTGCGAGGTCGAAAAGTTTCGCTGTTGGGAATGTATAAACAGACAAGAACGTAAATATATCTCCGAGGGTATATTTCTCCCGAACGAGCTTTACGCGAAGCTTATAGTGTTGCAAATAGTCGCAAATTGGAAGAAGCACGATGAAAACGGCAGTACATGCCAGAATGTCTGGCAAAGAAGCACGAAGTTTACCGATTTTGAGTGATCCTGTTTTTACAGTCAAAATGTACATAAAATGTTATCTACTGTAATACTTCTCTCTCTCTCTCTCTCTCTACTTTACATTACTGAGTTTAAACTTCTTTTTGATAAAATGGATATATAAATTTAAGATTATGTAGTAAAAAGGAAATATTATGCAATAAAAAAGAAGAAACCGTTTTAATAACGCGAAATTGTGCACGTCAGCTATGAAAAGTAATTCAAGATTTGAAGATGCAAACTGAAAGTGCCAAGTGAAAGCGAAATTGCTAAAGTTTTTCAGTACTGTTTTTTCGTCGTAACTCAACAAACGAAAAGCATTAGAAAAAAGGGCACTGGTTGATTTTATCTTAATGGTACCCTGAAAGTATCAGTTAAAACAAGAAAAATATTTCATCGTAACTTCATGTTCCATATTAACTATTATATTATCTTTTCCTTGTGCGACAGAAAGTGCAAATCATAAGACGAAAATAGAATAATAATAATATTTAGAACAAATCTTATACATTCATTTTCATTTTACTAAATTCTACTCTGCTCTCTGTTTTATATTATTATTATAATATCAACATTACCTTTCTTCAATATATTGCCAATAGCACCGATATATACGACAACAATGCTTTTACTACCTGAAATATCATTGTTTGATTATATGCAAATGTACGAAATGTTAAAAATTAATCAATATAATAATATTGAATAGGAACATAATTAAATAATAATAACGAATGGAAGCTATAGAAAGTGTTTTGTGGAATATAATAAGATGTGAAATTGTGAACATCGTTATGCTAATTGCAGTTAAAATTATTATTTAATTAATATGAAGAAATAAGAATAGTGAATTTTATTTCAAGTCAATTTGTATTGTTACGATTGTATAACAAAAGAACAAACACTCACTTCAATATTAATCAAAATCTTTAAAAAATAATATTTCTGTATAGAGGAAAGTTGCCGAATGCGTACCACTTAACCTATTTTTTATTATATTTTCCATTTAACACTGTTTTATATGCAAATGAACATTAGAAATTGTAGCTTGAGGTTTTGGACGCTTATTATTACATGTTAAACTTTCCACCAATAACAAATTAATTTGTTATAAAACTTTTTGCAACATGCTGCAAAAGGTACGATTTAGGCAACCGGTCGCCTAAATCGTACCTATAGGTATTTTTTATCGTATTTCCTTTGAAAGTATTGAATTTATGAA